CCTATGGCTTCAGCTGCAGATCTCAAGAGCACTTTGCGGAGATGAATACTGACCTGCTCGGTGTTACACAGGTTAAATACCATTTTATAGGCACACAGCTCAGCCCTGTTTACATGAAAAATTAAACTGACCTTTGTGGCAGTGTAAAGCTACATTGCTAGTGCAGCCCTTGTGCAGCCCATTTATTTAAGTGGATCTTATGGGCTGAGGTTGTATCATCCAGAAAAAGATATGGGAAGAGTAATCTCCCTCTTACAGCCTTAGATCTGCATAGATATCACCTCTACAAGTGCCCAGGATAAACCAGTGAATGAAAACTCTGAGCCCCTGGGGGAGTGGGAACGGCAGTGGAAGAGGGAACACAAACCACCACACGTGATCCTGGGAGCATCAGCTCTGACTTCAGTGAAAAGCAGCAAATTTAGTATTTACCTAAATGACCTCTTGACCTTCTGCTGAACAACAGCAATGCCAGAACTGTCTGGTCTACACTTCTCCTCACTTCCATCAATTAACCTCCAGATAAAAATGTAATTTTTTCTTCTCCTGATCCTCAGCAGCTATCCACAAGCTCAGTCCAGAACAGGGTGCACTAGTGGGTTTACAGCCTCTTCTACCCTAACTTACACGAACATCTCATTTGCTCCCCAACATCAGCTCCACACAGAAATTTGTCAGCATATACAGCCATCTGCAGAGCTATTCTATAGCAGGGCACAGAAAGCTGAGAAACTGGATGTTGCTTGGGGGAAAAAAAGTACACCAGGAGTTTAAGTTTTGTCTCATAGTATCCCCAGTGCAATCCCACCTGCCACACTGCTGCCAGCTTCCTGGCTGCTCTGCTCTCAACCCCCTCACTGCCTTGGAAACAGTACAGGAGTTTCATTCTTTCTTGGACTGTAACACGCATCAACACTCCTCCCTCCTTGTGTCATTCCACGTACTAGAACAGATCTGCTGGGGAATTGCCTGGCATCCAGCTTGGTTGCATCACCACTGTTCCACTCTCTGCCTTGGTAATGGTTTTCCCTTTAGGTATGCCTGGCCTCATGTTTGCTTTTTCCATCCATAGAATCACAGGATGGTTTCAGTTGGAAGGAACTTTAAAGCCCATCTCATTCCAAAACCCTGCCACGGGCAGGGACACCTTCCACTACACCACTTGCTCCAAGACCCATCCAACCTGGCCTTGGACACTTCCAGGGATCCAGGGGCAGCCACAGCTTCTCTGGGCAACCTGTGCCAGGGCCTGCCCACCCTCACAGCCAAGAATTTCTCCCCACTGTCCCATCTAACCCTGCCCTCTGGTAGTGTGCAGTCATTCTCCCTTGTCCTGGCACTCCAGACCCTTGTCCAAAGTCCCCCTCTCCAGCTCTCTTGGAGCTCCTTTGGCACTGGAAGGGGCTCTAAGGTCCCCCTGGAGACTCCTCCAGGTTGAACAACCTCAACTCTATCAGTGTCTCGAGAACAGAGGGGTTCAAGCCCTTGGAGTGTCTCCACGGCCTCCTCTGGACTCGTTCCAGCAGCTCCATGTCCTTTGTACATTGGGGGCCCAGAGCTGGAGGCAGCACAGCAGGTGGGGTCTCAGAGTGGAACAGAATCTCCTCCCTCAACCTGCTGGTCACACTTTCAGATGCAGCCCAGGACACTGGGGAGAGGTGCCTGAACCTCAAGCCTTTCAGAAGGAGCTCTCAGGAGTCTAAATGATTAATCAAGCAGCTGTCTTGTAAATTAGAAATCTTGTAACAGAAGGGCACGTCAGTAGACTGGGAGTGAATTTCCCTTTGCAAACTGCATTAGTTTAGATGTGTGCATTTAATAATTTCTATCACTTCACAAAGCACGGGGAAAAAAAAGGTTATTCCTCTCTGATTCTACCAGAGATATTTATAAACACATATCAAAGGACTACCAGATGTTTCCATAGTACATCTGGGATTAACAAACAAAACTGTGTAATCATATTGAGAGAAAAGGTAGTTGGCTCTTTAAATCCATCAGTCATGAGGAATTATGAATCATATCTAAGTATCAGATTTGCCAACCGAAGAGTCTGGACTAACCCTCTGCACACCAGAAATCAGAGTTACACCCATTCTCACCCTGACTGGCAGATAAGGAGTCTCAATTTTTCCAGGAGAATGATCCCACTTCAAGTTGCAGTGACTGCATTCCTCCTGCAACTCCTTCACCTCAGTAAATCCACCTGCACCCAGTTCTGCTTGTGGCACAGCAGGTCACTCTCAGAGGAGTCTCTTCAGAGGAGCTCATCCAGTGAGGGTGCTGGCATGCAGTTTGTGGTAGGCTCTATTTTAAGTCTCATTCACTGGATTAAAATAGTATGGAGTTAAAAGTAGTAATTATCAAACATCTGCACTTTCTCTAAAGCTGCAACACTGTTTAACCAATGCATGAGCTATAAACTCACTGAATGGAGCTATTCCAGATTAGCTATAAAACTAAATTAGGGTGAATTCCCAGAGCAGTCAAGGATCCAATTCCTCAAGGTTATATGCATTCCAGTTCTGTAGCACAAGAATTTGAGTGTTGTCCAGTTAAGGCACAATAATAGGAAGCCTCATCCCTGGAAGCATCCAAGGCCAAGTTGGGCAGAACTTGGAACATCCTGGGCTAGTGGAAGGTGTCCCTGAACATGGCAGGGGGTGGAAGGAGAAGGGCTTTAAGGTCCCTTCCAACCCAAAGCAGTCTGTGATGCATGATTATGTTGAATTATCGTTTCATGTTGCACTGACCTAACAAAACAGTACTTAGTCCTCTTTTCTTCCTCACACTCCCTTTAATGTCCAGCAATAAAAAACCTCAGAAACACAGCAAGTCCTTGCTCAGAAATATCATGGCCACGTAGGTCCTCGCTGCAGACCAGCCCCACTGGCCACCTATGATGAGCAGGCTGGTTTGGCCCCTAAATATTTCTGTGATCTTCACTAATTCACTGCATAAGAAAGATCATCTAGAAATCAAGTAGTAACAGCAAACATAATTTCAAGGCAGGGTTGAATTCCCACTAAAATGTATTTTCCATTCATGAACATTTCTACTAATGTGGATTCCTTTGCATGATCAGTTTCTCGATCTTACAGCTGCAGAAGGAAGATATTCAAGTTCCTGAAAAAAACACAAATTACTTTTCTATTACATCGCTCAGTTAACTTTATCAGACCAACAGAAGCCCTGTGACGAAGCTGCACATTAATGTCTGCCTTTACACATGTCAGCACAGAAGTGCTGATGTTTCACAAAGCTTGAAAATTTATTGTGAGGTAAGTATTTACATTTGTATTTTAAACCATCGGTTTGAGCACAGGATTTCTAATCTCTGCCCACGGTGCTCCCCCCTGCCACCTTGTGTAAACTTTTAATCTCCGATGCAGAGGCCTATTATTAGAGCTGGCTGAAAAAAAAAGCCCTACAGACTGAAGGCACGTTGTTTTGTCATGGAAAAGGCTAGGGCAGAGCCTTTCCAAAAACAAAGCCTTTTATTAATAAACCTTTGTCTGTTTCTGCTGAGAAAAGTCAAAGAAACATTTCCTTGATGTTTTAAAAACTGTTTCTCTGTAAATAAAAACCGGTGACTCAACACCAAAATATGTCCTTTTAAACAAAAAGTTTCGATTCATCAGGGAGAAATAAGTAAACACTTAACACGGCCTTAGCGCCCCGAGATAGACCAAAGACTGCACGTCCTGTAAAGTGAGCTGGGCTTTCATCTCCATTTACACACAAGCCTGCCTCCAAACCAACCCGGGAACCGAACAAAACAAGCCTTTAGCACTGGGAGCCCGGTGTAGCCTCTCCCACCTCCCCAGTCCCAGTGCGGGAAAAACGCAGGAAACCAGTAACTCGAACACCCAGAACACCTTCGGCACAACTCCCATCTCAAAAAACAAAAGCCAAAGACAAACAAGGCGAGGGGGGTGGGGGGCGCAAACAGCTCCCACAGCAGTTCAACACAGATAATGCCGACACGCCTGGAGCCAGAACTCCAAAGCCGGGATGAGGACGCGGCCGTGGAGGCTCGCGGGGAGCTGGGAGAGGGAGCGATCGATGGCCCTGGCCAGCAGACACAGCTCACACCCGCCAGCTCCCGGGCTGGGCTGCTGGGCCAAGGGCAGGCAGGGGAACCTGCCTTGGTCACACCCAATTCCTCGCTAAACGTAACTCGGGACGCACGTTTTCCTGCAAACTTTCAGCCTGGAAGATTTCGCGTGTTTGGAACGGGCACTAGCAATGAATAAAAGCTGGGTGCCCCTCACTGCCCAGGGACCCCACGGCAGCAGGCACAGGGGTCACACGTAGCCCGGGAGCTCATACGCTCTCCCTACTTTTTGTCTGTGAAAAGTAGCACGAAACTCTCAGTCAGGGCAGGAGGAGCGCCCGCCCCGTGGCACAGGAGCGGGTGGAGGTGGCTGTGAGGAAACGTGGCGGGGCCGACCGAGGCGTTTTCCCGGCGCTCCCGTGCGGGAACAGCCGCCCGGCCGATAGAGCCCCCGTTCGACGGTGCCGCCCGGGGGAAGCGGGCTCCGAGGGGCGAGCAGGGGCTCCCGGCAGGCCCGGCCCGCAGCCCGGCAGCGGCCGCGCGGGGAGGGGCCTCGGCCCCGCCCCGCCGAAACTTCCCCGGGAGCCGGCCCGGCCGCCGCCTCTGCCCCGGGAAACGGCGCCCGGTGCCCCCAACCCCGGCGGGTCCCCCCACCCCACCCCGGCCGGGCTCCCCCGGCCCCGCCGCCCGGCCCGGCGCGGCCTCCCCGCGCGGCCCAGCCCGGGCCCGGCTCAGCCCCGCGGCCGGCGTAGCCCGCTCCGCTCCCCTCCCCTCCTCTCCCCTTATCTCCCCTCCTTCTCCTCCCGCTCCGCTCCCGCCTCGCCCCCGCGTCCCTCCCGCGGCGCCGTGGCCGCAGGGCCCGGCCCGCCCCGCCGCCCAAAAGTTTCCAAGTGCGAGCGCGGGGCGCGGAAGGGGCCGCGCCGCCCGGCCCCGCCAACTTTACCGGAGCGCAGGAGGGTGCAGTGCGATGGGATAGGGTGGGGTGGTCGCCGCCGCCCTGGCTCCGCTCCGGGCCCGTCCCCGGCCCCGCCGCTTTGTCCCGTCCCGCGGAGGAAATGGGCTCTTCCGGCGCCTCCCCGCCCGGCCCGGCCCGGCCGCTCTTCCCGGCACCGCCCGCCGCGCCGCCCCCGCGCCCTCCGGCACCGCCCGCCCGCAGGTGAGGGCGGCGGGGCAGGCGGGAGGGCTCCTCACCCCCGGGCGGGACCCTCACCCTCGGGCAGGAGCTCCCACGAACCCCCTCGTCCCCGTGCGGGGCCCCTGAGGAGCCCCCCGGGCCGGAGTCCTCCCGCACTGCTCGGGCCGGGGCACAGCCTCCCCTCACGCCCAGGGCAGCCCTGCACCGGCCCGCCCGCACCCCCGGCCCAGGCTCTCAGCCCGCCGCTTTTGGGGCAAAACCAACAAATTCGCGGTCAAAACCTGTCTTCGTCCTCCTGAGGAGGTGCGGGACACCGAAGGTCCCAGATGCTGTGATTTGAAGGAGGTGAGGAAAAAGTTATAGCTGAGTTCCTCTTGTGTTTGTGAATTGCTGTTTTGTTTTGGAAAACCAAAACCTTCCTCAGGAGCTGCTGCTTTTAGGAAAAGCTTTGCCTTCACGCAAATGTCTCTAATAATTAGACTACAGGTGAGAGGAAACCCCAGGGATGCAAGCAGTGCCAGCAGAGCCCCTCTCAGAAGAGCAGGAGGTTTTGGGAACCTGGCCTTGGCTCGCAGAAGCAGATCTGCAGCAGAAGAAACTTGTCTTTATGCCCTAATTTGTTTCAAAGTTTTCTTTGAAAAGTCTCAGTGAGCCTTTTGTGAGAGAGTGATTGTTTTTACCCTACAACAAATTACTCTGGGACTTTCTGTGGTGTGTTTTGAGATGGCGTTTGATATACATCTCTCTACAGTACTCACACTTATACTGGATTGTAAAGACAGCTGAATAAATTTAACACGTTTCATGACTCATTTGCCATCACTCCTGAGATACCTGAAACTACTCACTCCATCCTTTGTTATTAAGCAAAAAAATAGGGAGATTGAGTAACCTACCAGGAAGGTTCATTCAAGGTACCACATTCATTCAAGGCATCACATTCATTAATTAACTGAGCCCGGGGAGCTGGCCCAGGTCAGTGCCACAGCACAGGTGACCACACCGTGGGCAGGACTGGGACTTTCCTCCAGGTCTGGCTCAGTGGGATTTGCAGGGCCGTGTTTCCCACCCTTGCCATACTCCTGCAAGCCTTCCCTGCAGGAAGACAGACAGTGTCCTGCAGTGATTTAGATTGCATTTTTCCTTCCTGCAGATTTAATCCAAGAAAGGGATCCAAGACTAGGAAATAAATGGAATACTTTTGTCTTTTAATCCAGAAAGAAAATAGGGATCAAGAGCCCAGCCTTGCTGGTGAGTGAAGTTATCGAAAGAAAATGAAATCTGTAATTATGATACTGACTGAGATACATGTTATTAAAAAAATATAGGGTCTTCAGTGCCTTAACAAACAGACTCTCCTCCAGAAACACAGAGAAAACAGATTTTTTAAACTCTTTCTATTTCCTGCTTGTACCAAACCATTAATATTTGGTGTCAATTGCACCAGGGATTCAAACTACTCATTTCTGATCTGTAGCATACTCTCAGTAAAATTGAGTTTACACTTCAATAGCTTGCTTTCTTTCATTACTCCTTTTAATATCATGACTTGGCCTCCTGTGGTGGCTTCCACATTCAGCAGTTCCATGTGCCTCACATCCTTTCAGGACAAAATGTCAGATTTAAAAAAAAAAAAAAAATCCCTTTTAAACCTACAGACTCAAAGGTAGAAGGCCTGGAGTTTGTGGAGAATCACACATTCTGCACTGCACTGAAAAGCGAGGGGAAAAGTAGGAGATCAGCTGGCAGCTCTGCTGGTTCATGGAGCGAGTTAAAAGGCTTGGCAAACAAAAAATAAAATTATGTAAAAACAGAGCCAGCTAGGTTGAGATTGGACTTTGTCTCTTAATTAACAGCTCTCTCTGAATCACGGTGCCGGGCTCTGTCAACAAGACTGAAATGCAGGGGGGTGTTCAGACAGGCACCCAGCAACAATAGCTCACACCTCCCATCCAGTGCCTGTCATTGCCACGGCACCAGGCTGTGCCGGCAGCTGGAAATCTAATCCCTTTTCTGAAATGAGGTAGAGGTTTTATGCTTGACCTCAGATCTTCCTGTGACGGTGTTTGTGGCTTTGTAATCCCATTTTCCTGGATTTTTTTTTTCTTTAGTGTTTCTTTCCCCTTTTCGCTGGGTGAAAACCCAAGGTAAGGCGGGGGAGGACAGGGAGGCGGGGCGGCCGCAGCGATGCTGCGGGAGGTGGCGTGCATAAACCCAGCCAGAGCTGCGGGCTGGGCTCCGTGAGGGCAATCCAAGGTGCAGCACGGCGGAGCAGAGCAGGGTGTGATTGTGCGCTGCTGGCAGCGTGGCACAGTTACTCAGACGTGTGCTCAAGGGCAATCCCTGCCACACACCCGAAGGCACACGTGTGGGTGGAAGCTGCCCTTTCACGGTGAAGTCCTGGGGTAGGTCTGTGTGCCGAGCAAGGAAGGGGCTTGTTTATGTAGCACCTGCTGTAAACACACTGTGTGCCAGTCCCAGCGTACACGGGGTCTAAATGATGTGCCTCAGCTGCAACTGGATTTTCTATTTCTGTGACAACATTGCCGACATGAAGCGGTTGCTCTGTGCGTGTGTTTGTGTCCATTTCAAAATGTGTGTTTTTTTCTTTGTGGTTTTATTTTTTGGGGTTGTTTGTTTGTTTGTTTTTCGAAGAAAAACAGTTTAGTTTTGTTGTTTGTGAGAAGTGAATAAAAGTGAGAGGTACAAAGACAGGACTGCTGGGGAGGAGATGGTAATGGGGGGATGGAGAGGAATGAGACAAGGAAGGAAATTAAAAGAATGAGGAAAATATGTAGAATACTGTAATGGTGGGCTGAAGTCAGGCCGAAGGGGCAGCAGGAACCAAACAGAGAGAAGAAAAACTAAAAATATGATAAAGGAATCTGAGGGTTCAAATACCAGCTGTTGAGGCTGTCTGCAGGCTGATGTCAGGCTGTGCAGTGGGGACAGCCCCAGGGCAGCCGTGCTGTGCCACCAGCTGTGCTGACTGCAGAGCAGCACTCACAGGGTGCAGCTCTGTCACCTCTTTGGTCCCTACTCTGCCAGCCAGGGGCCAGGAGCAGGGCAGGGACCTCACAGACAGTGAGCTTTGCTTTGCAGCTTCCACTAAGGACTGGTGGCTCTGATGAAGTCAGCAATGTAATAAAGTGTCCAAATGAGGGTTTGGCACAAACATCATTTCTCTTGTGCTGTGGCATCAAGTCCCCGGGGCTCCCCAGTATTTGTAGTGGTCCCATGCGGCTGGGAGGCATCACCATTCCTCTTCAGGGCTCAGGTACATAAAGAACTAAGATTGTCTCCCAGTATCCAGTTAGGAATCAACATCTGCACAGCCAGGAAGCAAATCCCAATGTCCTGGGGTGATGCATGCCTCAGGACTGCTGGAAATGCTGGTAGGTAGTGCTTTTGGGGGGACTGCAGCTCTGCCACCTGAGCTGTGCATGCAGCAGAGGGACTGAAACACCCACCTCAGTGGAACAAACCCCAGTCAGGAGGAGAATGGATTTACCAGTACACCTACACATACACTGGGGCTCCTTCTGGCACTGCTGGCTGCCCAGGGATCAGGCCTTGCTTCTCCAGTGCCTCCAGGGCCAGCACAGGCTGTGCCAGCTGGAGCTGCAGCCACAGTGCTCCCTGTGCCAGGGCTTTTGGCTGCTGTGCTCACCATCACTGCCCACCTTCTCCAAGGAAAACTGTCTGCTAGAAATATGCCCTGGTTCATACTCAGGAAGCCACTGGACCCTGAGCAAAACCTCTTTCGTCCTGCACCATCAAATCCTCCTGAGACCTGCAGAAAGAGAGGCCCAGAAGCAATCCCAGCATGACCAGGAGCAGAGGGACTGCTGGCCCCCAGCAGCATCCCCCCCATGCACATCCACTACAGCACAGGAGTCTGAAAAAAACAGGCAGAAGTTGTAATGAGGAGAAATTATGCAGTCCCAAAAGGCTCAGCATGAACTGGGTTCACTGGTTGCTGTTCCGCGGCAGAGTAGTTTGCATTCACCTCCAGGTTCTCACAGCCTTTGTGTAATAAACTGTCATAGCCCCGGAGAAGGGAACATTCAAAAAGCGCCCCGAGGCAATGCATAGCAGAAGCCTGAGAATCCTCCTGCATGAGTCACTGACCTCCACACACTGCATCTATTTCAGCCTTTAATTAATAAGGGTTTACATTTCTATGGCACTTTCCATCTAGAAAGATCCTAAAATGCTGTGAAGACTAAGGGGTGTCCAGCACTACTGAAACGTGGTTCCTGGGAGGTGGGGCTTGCAGGAAAGGCAAGCTTAGCCAAGGGCACTGGGGAAAAAGGTTCTTCATTTTGAACGGAGCCTCTCTTACGTCACTGAGCACTTCATTTCTGTGGAGAACAGACAATAAGATTTTAGTTTCTAAGGCACTGCTTGAGTAAATAGGCCTTGTAGATTGCTTTCATTATCTATGGGGGATGCAGTGCAAAACAAGTGCTGGGGGATTTTAATTTAGGGTGTTAAAGGACCACAGCGTAAGCTATAAATTTAAACCATCCTTGGATCAAGGCTTTCCTCCCTCCAGATGAGTAAGTTATTCCCAAATGTTATACACAAAGCAGAAGCCAGTGGAGGAAACAAATCTCATGCTGACAGCACCTGACCCTGCATTTGGAACACCAAGCTCCCTTGCATGCTGCCTGGAAATTCAGCAGCATCGAATGAAGTAAAAGCAAGGTAAAAACCAGCCTAAAGCACCAAATGGGGCAATATAGAAAACCAGGAGGAAACAGTCCTCCTGTCCCAAGACTTGCAGAGACTCTGAGGGGAATCATAGAATATGCTGAGTAGGAAGGGACCTATCAGGATCATCCAGTCCAACTCCTGGGCCTGCCCAGGACACCTCAACAATCACACCTTGTCCCTGAGAGCATTTTCTAAACCCTCCTGCAGCTC